TTCAATTATTTTTAACATCTTGACTATTAAGTGTATAAAATTAAAGATTTACAAAAATAATTTTAAAATAGCCTTAAAATAGAAAATGAAAAATAATAATAAAATAATTGAAAAATGATTTTTTTTATCTTTTTTATTAAAAAACACACAGAATAATATAAATACTAAAAAAATAGTGTAATGAGACTTGAACGACCTTCTATAGGCAAGTCTTACTCTCTTACCAACTATGTTATGTCATTCTATTCAAGACAAAAAGGCACATAGAAGCATATGAAGGTGGGAAAATATTTTACTATTTTAAAAATACAAATAATTTAAATTAAATTATTATATATTTTAAATAAGCAAAAATAAATTATTGTTAAACCAAATGTGAGTAATACCTAAAAAAATTATTAAATCAAGTTTAAAAATAATTTGAATATTTTAAAAATGGGGCGGCAAATTTAGGGTATGGCAACTGCCCTTATTTAATTACTCTTCGATTGAAGCATGCGTGTATACGAAGTTTCGCACATTCGGATCAGAGGGTTATTAAATTATGGAAGACCCTAAAATTTAGACCAAAGATTATAAAGATACACTGTACAGTATTTCCAAGAGTACGAAAAAATAGGCAAAGACGATGATTTATCATCCTACTAGAGTTAGATAGAAAAGTGAGATTGACCTTGATATAACGATGTAGACAACTCGCTAATACCTAAAAAAGAGATCGTATATTTTGCATATTTTTAATGAAAAATTAAAAGACATAAATAAATAAGTTTATTAAATATTAAATAAAAATTTAATGATTAATAACTAATTTATTAAAATTAAAACATTTTAAATAAGATTATAATTAAAAAAATTAATATTTATTTAAAAATTTTAATATTAAATATACTTTTTTTTAATGGTAGTTTTTGTAATGATAGTCTTAAAATAAAATATATTGTCTATCAATTATGATACTTTATATATTTCTTTATTTTATTTTATCTCTATCATATCATGCAGAATAACATGTCTTAAAATTTTGATCATTAAAGATTTAGGATTAAATAATATAGGACATGAATGATAACATATAACAAATGCATTAACTAATGAGTAATTGATTAAAGACTTATGATTAAATAGTTTAGAGCATGAGTATTTAATTTAGGACAAAAATTTAAGTGAATTTTTCGATATCTTCAAAAAATTTCAAATCAACATTTCATTTGTTGAAGTCCTAAAGAATATGTATATGTATGTTGAATTTAGACAATTTCTTATCTCATTCTTATATATTTTCTTAAATTTTGTGCGAAATTCTCAAAATATCTTTTATTTTTTGAGATACATCTCCGGACACATCAAAACCCTTTTTTTCCACAATAAAATTTGGAGATACACATTAAGAAAATACACTTTCTCTCTACCTCAATATACACATTTCAAAATCTCATTCAAGATTAAGTTTTGAAGCTACATTTATTTGTTTCTTACCATTTCTAACTCCTTCTACCTACTATATTCAACATCGGAGCTCTTACACCATCACCAACACATTTTTGAGTAAATTTTTCATTTAGCATTTTTTAATTAATGTATTAGTTTAAATAGATTAGTTTTAATTCATTAAATAGTTCAAATAGGTTAATGTACAAGTTTGAAGACTATGTTTATATGATTTGGATGAGTTTGGTTGGGTTTGGTTGCTAAGGCAGTTGCAGAAAAAAATTTGTCGTTGAAACAGACGAAGCTTTTTTTTGGATAATGCATATCCGAACTATTATATTTCAGGTTTTCGGATATGCATATTTAAACTCTTTCCTTCCTCATAATTTATAATTTTTTTCCTTCAGAATATGGTTGAAAACCAAGGAAATCAAATAAGGATGAGACTCAGGCGACCCATCCTAACCGCCTCTGCTCGTCGCAAAATGGCTAGTCAGTACGAGCAAGCTAGAGTCGTCCCCCATCTACCTCAGATAGGGAGGCGTCAACCTCTAGGAGTCAACTTTCATGGGGTCGGGATCCCAGAGTTGTGAGATCCATGATGAGGATGCCTCAGTTGCACCCAAGGTCCCAGTTGCTGAGGATGCCCTCCTTGCAGACCCGTTTCCAGGAGGGCTCACTGACACGTCTTTACTCATATACTTTGGAGAGCGTGTGGCTTCGCGTGTTTAGGAATGAGAGGTATATTTTTGAATTTACTCTATTTTTTATTTTGTATCCAAATTCAACTTAACTGATCATGCTATATTTTATTTTCAACAGGAGCGTGATCGTCTGAAATGTGTGAATCGTGCAAGAAAGATTCACAATCTTTATCATCCCGAGAAGCCTGGTTCCAAAATATACTCCAAAATTCTGGGCTTGCATGTCTTTGTGCTTCCGGTACACCAACATCATCAATGGCATGCAGGCTGTATTTGCTGAGAGATGGCATAGTGAGACGTTATTTTTCCACCTCCCCATTGGTGAGATGACTATTACACTAGATGATGTAGCATGCTTCTTACACTTTTCCATCAGAGGAATGTTGCTTTATCATTCTAAGATCAACAGGAGTGATGTCATTGATATGATGGTGACTTATTTGGGAGCTGAATATGATGAAGCCTTTGAGCAGTGTAAAAGCACCAGGATTGCACATGCCAAGTTTTCTTGGTTATCAGAATTGTATGAAAAAAACTTGGACACATCAGAATACTCGAACGCCGATGATTTCCAAGTTATCTACCATAAGGAGTGTGCCATTAGGTGCTTTTTCCTATTCTTGGTTGGCATGTCCATGTTTGTGGACAAAAGTGCAAACTACGTAGATGTGGCCTACCTTAAATATTTCATCGACTTGGAGTCCATTCGCGAGTGGACTTAGGGGCAACGTGCTTGGTTTACCTGTACTCGAACCTGAACGAAACTTGCAAATGGATAATAAAGCATATAACAGGCTCATGCACTCTGCTTACCGTAATTTTTAAATTCCAGTATTAAATTACAAACTAATGTTTTTTCCACACTTGTTACTAATACTTTTTTCTTATTGGTTTTTAGGGATTGATCCTTGCTCACTATCACCGCAATCACAAGTTTAAACGTGACCCGTTCTATACTAATGATTGGTCATTTGTTTTTCAATTTGTCCCCAGCAGAGGGAATGATTATATCTTGTTGTACCGTGTGAATATTGAACGGAATTAGCACGACGACGTAAAATGGATGCCATACGGTACTCACCTGGACAAAGTTCCATTCGACCATATTTCTTTATACTCTGAATGGTTGGTACGTGGGACCAACATCATGCGCATGTATCTATCCAAGCGGTACATGCGGCAATTTCGATACGTACAGTTCATTCCTAGGTCACCCTTCCAAGCTGCTACTATCAGTATTGTCCACAGAGACCCAGAGGACATAACATTTTGAGAGTCATGTGGTACTGGTGGAGTATCGGACTCATGAGGCCACATCTCAGTGGAGTTATGTTGATGGTTACATGACATGGTTTTATAACGCGTCATCCCTTACATTACACAGGACACTCATGGACGTTTACATAGGCTTATTCATGAGGAGATCCTAGAGAATGAGCAAGTCGGGGAAGACCATGTCGTTTATGTGTTGTCGTGTTGTTAGACTATTATGTGGCTTACACGTGTGGGCGTCGAGTCTGGAGTGTTTGCGAGAGCTGAAGATGAAGCAGTTGCCTTAACACAGTCCATTTTTTTCGAGGCACAGAGTGTTGTGACTTAGCATAGACAGAGGAAGAGTCAGGGTGTTACGATTATACATATATAATAGAGTATGCATTTGATTGTATTTTATTTATTTTTCATCGACTTGAAAAACAATTGTTGTACCATTTTATTGTATTTTGATTGCATGGTTCTATAATATTCATTTTTATTAAGCATTGAAATAAATAACAGCGATTTTAATTAAACTAAAATTAGTTTGGATTGAAAACACCACAATCTTCGAAAACTAATGTTGAAAAAATCACATAGACAACAATTCGAAGATGCATCTCCGAACTAAAATGGTATTTAACCAATTCGGATATGGATCTCTAAGTTCACCCAATGACATTTTTATATTCTCAAAGGTGCACCCAATATAGGAAGGATTGGATGAGAAACATCATTTCTAAAAATAGATGCATGGTTAACAAAACAATGAAAATGTTTGAAACTTGCAGTGTCATCCTGCAAATGAAGACTCCAATAAAGTGCATAGATCCTTGTACCATTGAGGATAAAACGTTCAAAAAAGCTCTTGATTAACTGTAATACCATTATCTATTTAAGTCAGGTATTAAAAGAGTACATGACACAGATGACATTCCAGTTTACAATAAATCTATAAAACTTTCTTCCGGAATTGTAGAAGACAAGTTGGAAAACATGTCCATTATGGAGCTTTCTGTTGTGCTCTAGTGTACAATAAAACTCTCACACTTGTATTGAGATGTGAGAGAAGTGATGTAAATAAAGAATACATTAAGTTGAAAAATAAAGACGCAAGATCATGAAATGTGTCCATTATGGAGCTATCTGTTGTGCTCTAGTGTATAGAAACTTACTGTAATTTGTGAAAAACACAATCATGTGATGAAAGGTTGGTCCAATTATTATTCATTTCATAAAAACCTGACATAGTATTTACTGTGTCAGAACTTGACAAGTGCAATCCGAGCAACCAGATAGTATTAATTATACACTGACACAGTTGACTCCAAAACAGTTAGTAGCTCAGAAATTCATCTTTATGGCCCAATCATAACAGTTCAAGATTCCATGTATACCACTAACAGTTTAGTTAAGCAATTGTTAGCTACTACTACTATGATACAACAAATAATACATTGCATAAGTTCCAAGATCTACATGGTAGTTAGAAGGACTAAAATGGTCATCAAAGTTCTGTTAAGCTTACCATTCCTACAAACTCGTGGCTAATAAAATATCTAGAATTAACATAGTAGATGTTTACATGAAATATGCAACCTAGCTAGCTAGTTAACACCCAGCAGCCTTGAGAAAATTATCAAATGGGCTAGCAGGAGGCAGCTTCATGGGGTCCCTAGACAGTGCAGCTACTTGTGCATTCTCACCCTCGTATGCTTCCTACAAGAAGATCATACACTTTAAGGACAACGCCTAAAATAAAAGGAATCGGGACAAATACATAAGGAGCATCAGAAGATACCTTTTCAAGTGCTGTGTTACTGTTACGAGCCATGGCTAGAAACGACTGATCAGGTGATTGAGTGTAAAGATTCTCGACAGTCAACCAATTTGAAAGCTTCTTACGTGCACATGTCCCAAGTGATTCACACTGACTAACCATAGCGTTGTATGGGAGAGGCAAAGTGGAGACTGTCGTTCCTGCCACTTGACTCGCTACCTCTAGTGCCTAAAACCAATTAATGCAATGTTAAAATTGTTTACTATTGAAATATAATATGATTCAACAAAGGGATGGATGAAGTATACTGCAGATCCAGATTAATACGCTTGTGATTCACTATTATTTGTTATTATACAACATTCACAAATGCAGAATGCAAAGTGTGTACCGATTCCAAAAGTTGCCCGATGCTGATAACATGAGGCTGGGGAGGGGAAACAGGCATCTTTGGAATGAATCGAGAAAGGTCAGAGACAGAAGCTTCACTGATTGTATCGTCTTCACCTCCTGAATTTGAGGGAAAATCCTGAAAAACAAATAAATGATCACCAAATTTGTCTTCAACTTTTTCATCCCCTTATTTCAACCCCTCCCAATAAATATCTAGCATACCTCGTCAATCGATAGTGACTCTTGAGAATGACAAGTCAATTGATTCTGATCAAAGATTGACTGTGGACCAAACACAAAGTCTTCATCAGGCTTAAATGGCTCTGACAGTAGCATAGCCAGGTTACCTGCATCCAGCTAAGAAAAGGCAAAAGGAAAACCAGAAAGTGAGGGCGTAGACAGTTATGAGAAGAAAAAATGGTCCCTGAATCAAATGTAATAATACCTCAACGAATTTCGTCAAATTATGAACCAAAACATTTTTTACGGTCTGGTCATATTCAGATATTGTGTTCCTCAACTCAGATAATGTTGACAAGGCTAACTGACTATCAGCAGCAGTACCATACTCTCGTAAATCCATATGCGACTTAGCATATACTTGATTATCATCACTGATTCCCAAGAACGGATCAACCTAATTATATATAAGCACACAGTCGTTAAGATGTTTTCTTTGGAGAAAGCATAAAACACGGCTTTCATATTCATACAAACATCGAGTAGTAATAAAAATCAGTCACTCACTTCAGATTTTGATAACGAAGTGAACATGTCATTCAGATCATGGATCTGATATATTTTGCAGGCAAATATCAACATCCCCGCGGATAACACAAAGATAGACCTCTGACCTGCTGGAGGCAACATTCCTGCCAGAACAAGAGTATATCAATTTTGCATTCTTAAGTTCTTTTTTCTTTTTTGAAACAAAAAAAAAAAATAGTTTGTTTTTTTCTTTCAATTAAGTAGTTCACATTTCAAAAGTTTATTTAGATCGTACCATTATTCTCCAACAACATATTCCAGAGAGATAAAGGAAGCTGGAAGAAGCGGATCACCAGGTTATCTCGGTCTTTTAGGTTCTGAAACATTGCATTTTTAAAGATTAGAATAATCAGAGTGTTGATTAAAATAATCAGTGTGAATGTGCAAAGATAGACTACCTTTATGCGCAAAACAGTTAGTGTCAATATGAATGAATGAGCTATAGCTTCAATATTTGAAGGCAAGTTATCAGGAAGGTTGGCCTGAATCCAAAAGGCAGAAAGAAGCTGGCCCATTTGATCTTCACTTAGCTTCATAACATATGGTTCCTGAAATCCAATTCAATATCAAAATATTGTAGTCATATTAACAAAAACCACAATTGACAAAACCTTCTGACAGATATCAACTCAGCTGCTTACCGGGTCAGTCAAACTCGTTGATCCTGTAGCCCTATCAATGATTGAGCTGAGTTTGTAAAAGTTAGGTGAAGTCTTTAAGCCGCGGCCTTGCTTCCACTCTTCGGCCACAGTATCTCTTTCTTTGTCATCATGAACAACATTCCCGTGATCTGCATTTGTACTGTCTTTGCCCCTGCGGAGTTTTTCGAGTAAAGCTGTAATTGAAGCAGATGCAGCTGCAGTATGAGAATTCTTTTTGCTTCGCTGATCTAGATATCTGGACCGCAGCGAAGAAACTTCTTGCGTATGGAAGGAATTCGGTAAAAGAAGTACAGAAAATATAAGGTGTGCTCCAATGCGAGCCTCTATGTCTGAGTGCAACATTACTTTTAGGAGTTGCATGAGAAGAGATTCAGGAAATCCCTAGATGGAACACAAAAAAAGACTGATCAATGGATGTATTCCAAGATAAAACCAATAAAACCCTTAATAATGCCTTTTGCTCGCCAACATATGAAAGTTGTAGTATTATATATCATCAAACGCTGTTAACACGGTTACTAAATTTTTGAGCTTTGATTTGCAGTATATAGACACCGTTATTAAATGTTCAACAGCAAGATTCTCGCACCTGCTGCAATCGTAAGTTGGCCAATGCTGAAGTGAGTGCTCGGGCAAGGACAATCAATGATCCAATGGTTGCTCTACCAACAACACCAGACGGAATATTTTCTAGGGTTATTGCCATCAAGTCAAACAGTGGCTGCGCATCGATGACCTAGCCAACCAACAAAGAAAAAACAGCAGGTCAGTAGACAAATAGAATGCAGTAACTGAATAAAGCATAAATTGAGATATGGTTCGCTTTTGTGCGTGTGTATTCATAAACCTACCCCGTTAGCAATTTCCAGTAAGCAGTTTTCAATGGAACTTTGGAGTGAGAGATTCAAGTTTAGTTCTTGTTCACCAACAACTTCACTTGAGGCCTGAAAACTTTTCCTGAGATGCCTGCAAAGATCACCAACAAAACCGATCTCTGCTAGCCGTCTCCCTGATCTAATCTGCATGGCTAAAGATGTGGCAACTTGAACTACATACGATTTAAGTTGGGGATCATTCGTAACATTTTTGTGGTCCAGATGATGTATCACAGAAGCTAGAATAAATCGATGATTCCCTGAAGAAAAAGTTAAAGATAAAGGAAAATAACAATATGAGAAAAAATCAAAGGTCATGCTAGACAATACATCCAATGATTTGTCGGTGAAAAGCGACTCAGACAAAAATGGTAGGAGAAAACAATACCTGTGCTCTCCATGAAGTAGGTCATGCTAGACAAAACCATCAGTGCAAAACCATCCTGAGGAGCCCAATGTTGCCTTGAATCGAAGTAGACAAACATTGGATCCAATACACGACGCATAGTTGTGCTTTCCTTGGCTAATTCAACCAGTCTTTGAATGCATATTTGAGCCCATATTTCTGGTTTTTCAACTTCTTCTCTAGAAGAATGAAAAATAAAAGTAAGAATACGGAACAGCGATAAAAAAACTGTATAAAAAGGCCTAACACTCGGCTCTTGAATAAGAAATACCTCGTTAAGAGGGAAGGATCCTTTACTTCGGGTCGTGGTTGAATAATCAAGCAACTAGAGCGATTGTCATTACCAACAAAAGAACCAGTCCAGCTCTCACTCCGAACAACCTCTTCCACCCAATTGTGATGAGCCTCTGTCCTGTCAGCATCTTCACTTCGTCTACTCCACTCATAGTTATCTAAAGTGGCGTGAACAATCTATATTTGAATTAACCAACAAATTAGAGATGAAATTTGACTGAGAATAAAGAAAGAAATTCAACATGAAAATTTGGAGAAAAAAATTATCAATCAAAGAAAACCCAAGTATAATGGCAGTTACACAATAGGTGGGTAGGGATTTTTCACTAGAGAGACGCAGTAACTTACCTCGTCAAAATCAGCAAAAATGTGTGAAAATTCAGTCATGAACCAAACCTACCGAGAAAAAATGGAAAGTAATAATAAGCACGCAATGAACTGAAACATATGTTTTAGTAAACATGCAAAATAGGAACTGAAACGCGGAAAATTTGAATGAAGCACTAATTACCATTGCTGATAGACATTGCAAGCTCGATGCCCTCAAGCTACACTTTTCGAGTGTTTCACCGGGCTCCTGTGATAGCATGCAGACTTTCTTCACCAATTTCTCAATGTTCTGAGTGTAAGTAGAATCTACCTGCTCATTCGTTGTGTCAGTAGCATGAAAGTGCATACAAAAACAATATCAGCTAATTCATTGCTGCGGTAGTACACATCAACTTGTTGCCAAGTACACAGATCAAAATATAAATCGATCTAAGGCAAATATTTCTGGATTGTAGTATTCACCTGACAGTAGATGAACCTTGTTAAGGATTGGCAACCAAGTGTCTGAATAGTCTCATCCTTGGAATAGTCCAAGAGCTCCGAAATCACATTAAGAACATCAACAGCAAAATATGTTCTGCAATTTGCACAATATAAATGAAAAGTTTTAAGATGAATCAAATATTATAAATGAGCTGAAGAAAAGGATTCAACATATAAAATTCTGCCAAAAGAATATGGACAAAATAATCAATCGTGAGAAACTTACATTTGCACCTTACAAATGGAAAGCAACTTGATGAAAGATTCTGCTACAATCTTAACTAGTTTGATGTGCTCAGATCTCAGTTCTTTGTAGCATCGTTCTTCGAGATATTTTGCTATCTGGCAGAAAGAGTAGAAACAGTGAACCTCAGAAATAAACAGGTTGAGCTAACTCGAACAGATCCTATCTTCCTCGTCTTCTTTGAAGGAAATTAAATACCTTGGGAATCCGAAAAGGGTTTTTGGCAGCATATTCACATAATTTGACAATTTTCCTTTCGTTTGGAAGCTCATCCTGGGAAATGTTGTAAAACATGAATACTACCAGGACTCTACTTCATGAACAAATGAATAATAAAGTGAAAATATAGTAGCATATAATCGAGTAAAATGATTCACCACCATGTGAAAAATGAAAAATACTATAATAATTGCCAACATTTCATACGAAAGACATGTCTAGTGTCAACACACATGGTTACATTCAGTTACTCTCATTTTACAAATTATTACAGGTGTTGTTCATCTATGTATATGTGCTCTAAAGGCATTAGTTAGAACTTGAAAAATAAAGTGTGATCACGAACCGGGGATTTAGGGAAGATATCAGCAAGCAATTTTCTGTAACGTTTGACAGGCTGTCTTGATCTTGACCTCAAAGCAGGACAACAAACACACATACTTCCACAAGCAGGAAAGATCTTCCTTGAGATGATCCCCATTTTCTGCAATTCCCAAAATCATAATGTAGCAAAATAAGCATAAACACAACTAAAAACCTTAAACCCGAATAGAGAGAAGAAAAATGCAGCAAACCGAAGATCCAAAGAAGAGACTCAGTAACAGTAGTTGAAATGCTAATCCAAATTGAAACTAACAGGACTAAACGAGTTAGAAACAAACATGACAAATTTTCAAAATGAAAAAAGCAAAAAACAGAAAAAGGAGAAAACCGTCGACCTAGAAAGGAATAAATATATAATAAATAAAGCAAAAACAACCATAACTATAAAGAAAGAAAGTTTGCAAAGTATATAATCAACAGTACTAAAAAATTTCAAAAAGGGGGAATAACAAAAAAAAAAAAAGTGACAACTACCAAGTTCCTGGTACATCTAAAGCAAAACAAAACAAAGAAAAAGTACCTAGTTGGTTTGAAAGAAGATCTGAGAGTGGTAGGTGAAGGAAGTTCAAGAATGGAGAACGATGTGAATTGTAATATTGGTACTGTTACTGTAGTAGAGTAATAAAAGAAGTTGAAAGGAAAATGGCGCGTGGGCTAAGAGAGAAGTGAGAGAAACACAGGATCACGTGACGGTGTCAGAATGGAACACAAAACAGTTTTCTTTTTATGTTACTTTTACTTGTGTGTGTGGGTGTTTCAAACTTTGTCAGAACTAGGAAGACACAAGAACAACTCAACGGAAAATTTGATGTCTCTCTCTTTCTCTTCTGCACGCTTATGGAAACTGATGTTACAAAACAGTTCTTTATTTTGAACCCAATGGTGTTGTTACTCCTCATTCTCGGAATGTCTAGTATAAACATTTCTTTTTTTTTTTTTTGTTACTCTTACTTGAATTTGTGTTTTTTATTTTAAATTTTCTTTGACTCGATTATCTAGAAAATTTTATTTTATTGAGTTTTCTCGTTGTTGAGTCAATAGTGAGACAAAAATATAATCTTAATTATTACAAGTATAAATAAATAACAGCAGCTAATATTCTTATTTTTTCTTTTTAGTAAATTCTATTTTTTTATTCTTGTCTAGTCTTTCTCCAGGTTGTTCGTAGTCCTGCCTTTCTAAATTCTTCTATTCATTATCAATTTTGTAATTGTTATCTATAACTTCCTCTAATTCATCAACCGTCTCAAAATCAGCATGGCTGTCATTCATTATAACCTTCTATTCTCTCAACTTTTGTTACAGCTTCACCTGCCTCAAACCCTAGCGTTTTTTTGCATCTTCTCAATATGAATCGCGGAGGAGGAAGATGCGCAAAAAAACGTACAACAGATTCTTCTTCTTCTTCTTTCTCACTCTTCTTCTTCCTTCTACTTTTTCTTCTTTCCCTATCGCCACTAACACCGAGATCATGTTTCCGGTAACTCAAGGTATGTTTGAATGTAATATAAAGGGTTCAAGAACAGGAAAGTTAGGGTTTTTATGATTAATTTGATGGTTTTGAGTGATAATATGTCCAGGGCTATGTTTAGGTTTTTTTTTTATGTATTCATGTTTAGAGTTTTAAACTTTTTGGTGTTTTGTTTTCAGTTTATGCTTTATGATATTGTGGGATTCGATAAAATGTTATGATACTCTAACTTGGTTGATATTTAGATGCGAGAATATGATATTTTGTTTATAGATCGTGTCAATGATGATTTTATTGAAGCAACACACTATTGGATTTGAGGTACTGATTTGATACAGAAATTATTGTTACAATTTCTGATAGTTACAATTTCTATTTTACATATAAAGCGATCCCGATCAAGTTGATGTTTGGTCTGAGAAATGTCTACAACCGGGTACTGTGAACTTGAGGTTTCAAAGGGTATATACTATTGCAAAGAGGCTGGAGATTCCTATATGTCCGCTATGGTTGGTTTTGAATTTAAAAATGGTTGTGTCTCCTTTTGGTTGGTATTACCGTGTCTGTCATCTCTGCCCCTGCATTGCACGTGGTGACATTCCTTCCTTTGAGTGTGAGGTTGGTCATTCAACTGAGGCAGAGATATTTAGGTTTTATCCATTGCTCTTTGCCGATTGAATTTGATATGATGCTTAATCTCTCTTATGTATGTAATCGTACTTATTATCCCGTTTTACATTTCATTTTCCAGGTATAAAATTGAGATCGAGGTTGCTTATGCAGGAAAGAGCTGTAACTTTGTATTTTGGAACAGTGAATGTGAACTGCTTTTAGGTGTATCTGCTTCCCAGTTGCGTCATAATATGATCCAAGTTAGTACCATGAATCAGATTGATTAATTTTTCCACCATGTTTAAAACCTGGCCCTGATCATTCGTGTTACTTCTTATACAAGCTAGAATTCATGATGCGTTAGAATTTCCATTGGCGCTTGATCAGATGTTGAATTTGAAGATGTCCTTTAAGGTCAAGTGGCAGCCGCGTTGGAAGAATTATTCAGTTGTTATGCTACTAAAAAATGACCCTTTCATTAAAGAGCTTAAAGGTCCATGGGAAGCAATTGAGGTATGAAACATCCATCTGCCATTTCTATTATGTTATTCTATGTTGTTTACATTTATCCTTCTGCATGCTCACCCTATTCCAATTGGGACACAAAGGCTAATGTTTTGATCCCTCCTATAAAAACAGAGTCACTAGAGGTATTTACCGCACTATACTTTTTTGTTGCTTCTTTGTTTAATTGATTATATGTTATATGTTACAGCTACTATTAATTGTCATTAGATTAAAGAAAGTGCTGATGAAGCCAAAACAGATGCTCCCGATGAATCTGATGTCGTAGCGGTAAACTTCATTGTTCTTTCTTGTTTGTGGCTGATTATCATATTTGTACAAATATTCTTTTATCCCTATAATTTATAAGTTTTGTCTACTTTGATAAACAACAGGACATCGAGATCACATTTGAGCATAAATCGGGTCCAACAACACCTACTGGAAAAAGACAACTCTCGGGTGGATCAAGCGAATCAACCAGCTTTGAAGGACTTTGCGACGGAGAACTGTCGTCGAACAAGCTTAAAAATATTATTAAGTTGGAAAAGGATGAATGGGCGATGCTATAGTTTCTTATGTGTCTTATGTTTCTTATTTTGGTTTCGTGTTTCTTTTCATTTTTTATTTGGATATGTAACAACTGACTTAAGTTACCTTGGGTTGTAATAACTTCATTTATTGTGGACAACCTTATGTTATATATTGTATTGTTTTTGGATAATTATGCGTGACACTTTCATGGCAGTTGTATTTATAAGTTATGGTTGTGCTACTACTGCTATTAAACACATTAATGTCGTGCTATTACTGCTATTAAACACAAGATGTCGGTATGTTATTCTGGAACAACAAATTTCTGGATAGCTACGGTGCAGTCAAGAAGATACATAGCTTTTTCCCGACATGTGGATCTGCATATCCTACAGCACAGCGTAATATTTGAAGTATACAGACTTTACCGACTAGGACGAACATACACATAGAAATATGATCAAACAAGCCTATAATCAGTTATATCTATGGAGAAATAAACTTCTCAATTTCATGATACATAATTCATTTTTATTGTACTTTACTACATGTATTAGTCTTTTTTAGGTTTTTTAGGAGTATTTTGTGTTAGACAGTGTGGCAAGGGATCGAGAGGGGGGGTGAATAGATCACCTCCTTATTTATCAAGGATTTAAAATCTTTCATCAAAGTTTATTAAAAACAACGGAAAAACACGGTCTCGAATCAAATTTCGTCTATTTTGAACCAACTACTAGAAAATCGGACATACGATAAACTTGTTGGATTTTATTTAAGATGAAATAGGTGAAAATTAAACACAAATTGATGTACGTTTCAATGCACTTATCACAAGAACGTTATTTCCAATGAATAAAAACTTGCACGCAATTTTGTCGAACTGTTGGTGTATGCTTGTTTGATGATCAACAATAATGGTGGTTTTAGCAAAAGAGTTTGTACCACTATTGTATCATTAAACAGAAAACCAGCAAACCAATTGAATTACAAACTTGCAGAAAATGTAAAGAGAAAGAGAGAAAGAAAAATGATACACAGGCAGTTTGGTAAGGAAGTTCCCCACTATCGTCCTCGCGTGTGGGTACGTCTCCCTCTCAATTCCAAAACTGAAATTGAGACCTGTTATATCAATTTGCTGAATATTATTTACAAGGTTACAATACGAAGACAACGTAATCTCTAAGATCTTCTTCTTGTAAGAACCTTCACTTGATATGAGCTTATCAAGATTCCCTGCAAGATCCACAATCAGTCATATGCTTCCACGACCTGTTTGTGAAATCGCCCCAATTTCCAAACCCCTCGCTACGGTTGAATCTGACTTGTGCAATCGTGACTATTCAATCTTCTTGAACCTGAAGAGTTAGATTGGCGAGTTTTCCGTTCGTGACTCGAAGGTAAAAGATAATTGGACACTAGAGTGCCCGTAAATTTGCACTCGTCAAAGTCTTAGTTGAGGGAATGGGCTTAAAGATGCCATTTGGAGAGGTGACAAAATCTTGTCAAAGATGGGCTTGTAGATGTCATCCAAGAATGTTTGCTGAATTGTAAGTTGTAAGTCAGAAGAATGAGTATTCGAAATGGTGTTCGTGTCTGGAACGTATCTGAACTGTATCTGAAGACTGAATCTGTATGAGCAAAGGAATAGCAGCTGTGTCTGGAGCGTATCCGAGCTGTGAATCTGAATAAGTAACAGAATGACTTCTGTGTATGGAGTGTATCTGAACTGTATCTGAAGGTTTGATTTGAATGAGGAATAGAATGGCTTCCGCGTCTGGAGCGTATCTAAGCTGGGGAAAATCAGAATAAGTGACAGAGTGGCATCCGTGTCTAGAGCGTATTTGAACTGTATCTGAACTCTGAATCTGAATGAGTGACAGAATGGCTTCCGCGTCTGGAGCGTATCTGAACTAGAAATTGAATAAGTAACAGAATAACTTTTGTATCTAGAGTGTATTTGTACTGTAACTTGAAGT